TAAAGGCAAGCGGTTTTTCCTTGAAATGATTTGGAATAGGAACACCCATTCTTTCATTTCTTGGACCACAACAGCTCCAAACGTCACTGATTTCATTTTTATCCGCTAATGTTTTCTAATAAATCGAAAGATGCCATACGGGCAACATCATTGTGTTGGTGTCACCCCCAACAAGTTCTGGCAGGCAAGGAACCAGTCTGAACATGCGAGGGGAGCTGTTCAAATACAAATTTATCTTTCACCAATGCGGAATGTGAGGCATCCGGTCTGCCTTACCTGAATTATACGAAGACCCATCTTTTTACCTGGAAGTTGACGGCCAGGGTAGCATTAAGGCGACGATTCATTCATCTTGTTTTTAATTCGAGATTGGGCGTTTGCAGCGGATAATGCCGCAGGGCGTGTGGTGATTCATACAAAACCGCAAATCTTTATAAATTCCTCGGCGGCTTGGAATGCCTTTTTTATAATTTTTTTCTTATTATTTAGGGCGGAGTAGTAAACTTGATATTCCAACTCTGCACAAAAGAATCCGCTTTTGCTCAAGTAGGCATATTAAAAGCTCCGACTGAACCTAATAAGCTGCTTGACAATAAGACTTTGGTCGCTTTGGTAAATAGACGTTCTCTATTCTTCGGGTTTATGTCGCGAACGTATGATGAATAGGCGTCCCTAGTCGATACAAATCTATTAAAACTAACGGCAACCTATACATGAAAGCTCATGTCTGGGTTGGTTATGTTGAAAAGACCCTCCAGACCACCTGTAGCTTGAGCAACAGCTTTTTCAACAAATTATTTGTCTTTCACGCCGTTCTTTCAGCTCATCCGAATGGCATTGAACAGTGTCGCTTCTGTTGAATAATAAATTATACAGGATAAATAAACATAGTTTTTTCGAGCAAAACTCTCTGTTTAGCTGTACTGCACACTTCATTCACTTTCAATGAGGAATCGTCAAATTAGTCAGCGCATTATTTTAGATTTTTTAAAATGATGTCATTGTTCTTCAAGCGCAAAAAGCCGCAGACAATGGTGATCTCATGCTCTCAGCTTTGTACGTTATTGCCACTTTTTTAGTGGGCAGATGTTGCAGCTTTTGCATTTAGAAGCCCGCACAATTGCCAGTTTCTCTAGACCTATTATTTATATTGTAACGTTTTTGGGGTTCGAAAGATTTCAGTAACTCGCTCTGTTTGCCATCACAATTCAACAATCACAACCACAACGCAAATTATCACCAACAATAATCGCGCTAGTATTTAATCTTGATTCAATAGCTCGTTCACTAACTAGGGCGCGTCGCGCTTGCCTTATATAGCCTTATGGCAACACTCGAATATTCTGGTTCAATTACGGAACATTTCCTATTCTAAATCCGTCGAACTGTCTGGAAACTTCCTTAGTCATTTCGCTTACAGCGTTGCCGCTTGGGATTGTTTTTCCGCACTTCCCGCACCGATATTATTTTAGAAAAATTCAAATAATTTGTCTTGTTCCAGGCTTCATATGTGGGGAGGACAGTTGCTGCAATGATTCTTTGGAGAACGATTTAAAGGCGCAAAGTCACAGCGACATTGAAAAATACCTCAAAGACACCGTAGTGAAGGTTGCCACTCTCGTTGAAACGAGGGCAAGGAAATTCGATGGTAAGTCTTACACATTTTGGTCAGCAAAGAATTTACGTTTCATATTTCGAGGTTGCCGGTTTTGAAATTTTAAATCTGATGATGGTTTATAAGAAAAAACCGAAACGTGTCAAATCAAGCAATAAAGTCTCAGAAATTTCGAACAATATTCACATGATCAACGATCAGAAAGAAAGGATTTGATCACTGTTCACTCTTAAAAGTACATCTTTTGATAAATAACTTCTAAAATTGAGTGTCGTATTAGAGGTCTCATGGACGTTTCACACTGGCAATGTCACAATGACTTTTCGTAGGTACTTGAAGCTGAATAAAGTTGAAATTAAGCCTCAAGGAGAAAATGAGCAGTTAAAAAAATGGTATTGTTGAAAATAACAATGAATTGCTGCCCACGTGTTGTTTCACTATTGATCAATTTGCCAATGAAACAGCTTGTAGGTACAGGGCACACCTCTTAGTGGTACTCATCGTCAACAATCAATTGTTATCGGGTATCAAGATCGATTGTCCATCGCATTCCAAATATTGGCCGGATCTTCTTCCATTTACATATTTGCCTATCATCGATCCTCTTTTCGGTGAATTAATATTTATGGGCTCTATGTCATATTTACATATCGTATCGGTATGCGGGCATTTATCCCACGCACGGTCCCACCGACTATCAATTTTGTCATTTCTGACTTTTGTCGCTGACAGCTGCTTACACAACGATAAATCATTCATCACGTACTGATATGTCAATAGACAGTTTTCATTTGAAGAATTGAAATCACCGCCAGAGGGCGTAGGCAATCAGTAGTACGTTAGTTGTTATGCGACATAGAGCGCGTCTCAAAACGAAAAAAAACTTTTAAAAAAAATTTAGACCTAGAGAACCGAATTGCTGCACAATACCCACATGATTTTGCCAATTCACCATTCAATCAATGGTTCGCTACTTTCCAGTCTGATAAACGCCTTGAATTAGCATAATGTAATTCAAGTCGGTTATTAATATGCCTCCTCAGTCACTTTCATTGTCCATTTAATGCCAATTGGAACTCATGGGGCGTCGCAATTTTCAACAAATCAAATGCTGAACGTTTTAACGAACCGGTTAACAAACCACTTCTGCAATCGTTTTCGTCCATTATACCATGCCAAATTCTTCTAATGCATTGAACTTGGGCCAACGTATCGGCCCTATGTGGGACCATTGGTGGCACATAGGCACAACAGGAATGGGTTAATTATTTTTATTTCTTAATTTCTTAGTGTTATGGTTAATGGGGTTATCGCTGGGCATAGTGTATTCTTGCGCTAACCGGCAACACACGACTCAAACTCGCTACAAAAAGCTCGGAATTTACAACTAATACAGGAATAAAATAAATCATAAAAAAAACTGGAAGATCGAAGTTAACAATAAATCCAAGCTTTTTTTAGTATCCAAAATTGCATGCATCCAAACACAAGATGTTTGTTAAAGGTCCAAATGGTCCTGGGCGGCCAGATCCCAAGATTGAACACACTTGATTTTTTTTAATTGCATAAATTTCCTATTTCTGCACCCAGCGCACTAAAAAAATCGCAAAAACCCAGAAAACCGACTAAAATTCGAACAACTTCGATAAGGCAAATAAATGCTTTCTACGGCAATTGTGTTGTTTTGCGCGTTTTGCTGCGTCTCACAGTGTCTTGCATGTTTATAAGATTGCAATTACCCAGTGTAAGGACAATTATGTTAAACAACAATGTTTCCTAGTCAATTTCCCGGTAATGTTCCGCAACTAAAACAAATTCTATTTACAGAAATATTCCGAAGCATGATGAACAATTCGAAACGGGAATTCCACGAGATGTTCGAGCGAACTTACGGCAAAATCTATCTGGACAATGCCGAGGTATTCAGCGATTTCTTCAACGAGCTCGAAACCTACTACAAGAAGGGAACTGTGCGTCTTGCGGACACTATGGACACTTTCTTCGGCATTCTCTATCAGCGGATGTTCACTGTTATTAACTCTCAATACAATTTTGACGAAACCTATATAGGTAAGTGGCTTACAAGGGTTTCAAGATTGCACCTTTCAACGACACATAAACATGCAAATTTGCGATTTTCGACCAATAAGAGGTTTGTTCCAACTTGTTTCAGCCTGCGTAAACAACCATATGCAAGAAGTGAAACCGTTCGGAGATGTTCCACACAAGCTAACTCAGCAACTAAAACGGGCCTTTGTAGCTACGCGAACTTTTTACAAGTCGCTGACCCGAGCAGCTGAAGCCATTCGAGAAGCGCCCTCTTTGCATATGGATGAAGACTGTGCAAGGCAGTTAACACTAATGCAAGTCTGCGGAGTCTGTAGAGGCGAAACCGGCGCTGGATCTTGTTCGCAATATTGCATAGACACCATCGCTAGTTGTATGAGAAATCACATCCAACTGAGCGATAGCTGGGATAATTTTGTTGGTGAGTTAGGATAGGTAACCAGTTTCAACTGACAAAAACTAATGTATTTTTGCTACTTTCAGCTGCAATCGACAAGGTGGCTGATCGACTCACAGGCCCCTATAACGTCGATTCCGTGGTGGAGCCACTGAATATCAAAATATCGGAAGCTATAATGAACTTCCAAGAAGTAGGGGCTGAGGTATCGCAGAAAATCCAGCAGAAGTGTGGCACTTTAGGCCTCAAGAGACCCAGCAGGTCGGCAGGTTACGACAGCGAAGAAGACAACACTTCCATGGAGCTGAAGTTCGAAACGATGAAAATGGGCGGCGGTGGGAAGAACAGAAAACACAAGAAGGTTCAGGAGAGAGTTGAGCAGCAGCAGCACTTAACTCTGGAGAAATTGATTGAGGATATCAAGATCGTAAGTGGAATTTTTCCTCAAAGCTACACTGGTACTTCTGCGCTATAATTAAACCGCTCATATACGTGGCGCTCAAGTTTCCAACATTATTTGGTGCTGTTAGGGATTAATATTAACTTAGGATATCTTATAAGGAGTGTTTGGAGTCCAGCTGTTCCAACTGTGTGAACAAATTGATACCAAAGTGCAGTTGAAAATGAATCCCATAAACATGTCATGATGTCTGCCAACAAGCTAATGATCATTCCACATTAGGAGGCGGATGTGGGACGCAACCATTCCCCCCCATTTGAACGAGACCTGACAAATGACTGCGTAAAAAAGTAGCAAATCAAAATAAACTCCGTATCACGGTAATTTATATCGTGTTTATGCATCATCTGTGTGAATAACTGCCGATATATGCCTCTCCTGTTTACACGTGGATCTGGAACAGATGGGCATAGACGTAATTCGTTCCAGAATTAACCGGCGCTCGGATAAACTGTGAAAGAACAAATGATCATGTGCGTGGTGAATTCCATAATTCAGGAATTAATGTTTTGTGCGTGTTCGTGACGTCGGTTCAATGTTTGGATCGTTTACAGCAGTTTTTGCTCGCGCTTTGCACGTCAGTTACTCTAAACTATTGATAATCCTTGGAAGAAAGCCGTTATAACAATAAGGAAATCATCGACTAATATTAAGCGCACCTTGAATGGAAGACAGGCAACTTTTCAATAAATCAACGTTTCAAGACTGCAAAAGCGTTTTGCAAACCAAACCGTCATGTTTAGGCCTCAAATCAGGTTTTGTGGACGAAAATGAAAATGGGCGGTTTTTTACTCACTTTTGGTAAAAGTTCGCACTCACTAGCATGCACTAACTGCTTAACTGATTAGTCTGTGCTTGAGCGCAATTATATACTTACAAAACCAATCCATAATTTTAATTTACTTTCACAACTGACAAAAAGAATTAAATTTGACGGTTGTTGACTAAAGTGAGAGTAGGTTCGAAAATTATCTTCGCTTTATGCGCGATGTCTGATGCGAGCTGATGCGTATTTCATCCATACATACAGGGTGTCCCGTAAGCTCATGATCAAAAGGGTAGTGCGATATTCGTTGGACCAAAAGAAGACGATCTGACCTAACTTTTATTAACAAAAAATGTCTGGCTCCTCTGCTATTGATGGTCAAAGTTCGTCAAAAAAATGTTCTTTTCTAATAAAGAAGTGACCGACATGGTCAAAGTATTAGGATTTTGCGAAGACAATTTGCGTGAAAGCGTACGCGTTTACGCGGCGCATATTTGCAGTAAATGCAAAACTACGCAAAAACTATGAATGCTACCAGATTTTACAAAGAGCACAATATTGTGAACAAATGATTAGTGCGTCAACCTAAAAAAAATGAGTTGATTTCGACATCCAACTAAAAAGTTCTGGTAGTTTTTGTACGACGACACTCAAGAATTCACCACTTGTCCAAAACGGCTGAACTCGATTGTTTCATCAAAATCTGAGTCTTGCATAAGAACAAATTCACAGCGAGTTTCACTAAAATACATCGTACCATTCTCCCAAAATTTCGAAAGAGCGTAGGAGCCAGACATTTTTTGTTAATAAGAGTTAGGGGAGATCGTCTTCTTTTGGTCCAAAGAATATCGCAGTACCCTTTTGATCATGAGCTTACGAGACTGTATATTAAAATTTTAAATCGTGAGAATGCATCAAGGAAAAAAGTGATCAGCAAAACTCCATATTTTATTATGCAAATGAGCCAAAGAGTTAGAAAAATTCATAGTACTACACCCCCAGAAGTACCAAGTTTCTGTTCAATTTTACCTTCACCAGCTAAAACTGGTTAATAATAATATATTTTTTTGCAGAAAATAAAGACAACTAAACAATTCTGGGTCCAGTTGCCCTATCAATATTGCAACAACGACAACATATCGGCGGGTCCAAGTGACGACGGCAACTGTTGGAACGGAACCACGATCGGCAGCTACAACTCGCCTACTTTCAAAGCTGAACCTACTGAAACCCCGCAGATAAGTGGCCAAATTCACATCCTGAACGGTTTGACTGAGAAGTTGCGCAAAGCCTATCATGGCCAGGACGTGGAAATAATCGACGACAGTGAGGAAACTTTCGAAGGAAGCGGTTCGGGGTCGGGCGACGAGGAGAATGAAGACACGTCGGAAGAAACCAAACAGGAGGGCGGCGATGATGACCTAACGATCGATATTCATAGAATAGAAGAAGTTTCGTTACCTCCGGTGACGAGCACGTTCAGGCCAGAAGTCGTACGGACTTCCAGTGCTAACGTGAACTCCATGTCGCTTACCAGGGCTCTCATTCAGTTCCTCTTGCCCATGGTGATGGTCTGGTTCGGTGGTGCCATTAAGGACTTGCTGTGATATTTGTATAGTTCGTGTAAATAGAGAGACATAGACAAGTGTAGGGTTCTCGAATGGACAGGCGTTAACGCGTGCCTTCTTTGCCCATTCGAGTTACATAAATTTCTACATATGAAACGGTCATTATGTGTAAACTGTATGGAGCCAGGACGACTTAAAGTATGCCAATCTCTAAAATCGGCTGGTCTTTTCAATACTGCCGAATGAAAAAACACTTCGCCCATCGCTGTAACTATTGTAAATATTAAGTGGAAACTGCGATGTCTATAGTTGTTCAACCTACAAGCAACAAAAGTTGTGTCTGTTATTAAATAAATATGATCCTTAAACAAGCCACCCCCTAGTTTAGGTTGTTTATTGTAAATCTATGAATGTCGGGTCCAAAACATGTACTTACTTACTTACAGCTTCGATTAAGAAGTTACAGGTTTTCATACTTTAATCGCCTAGCTAGCTATACTAGAATCAAACATTTGTATTTTGTGTATATGTTTCGTATGACTTACAAGCTTATGGATTTCGCTTCTCAAATCAAACGGAAATAATCAAGGTTTTTAAGAAAATATTTATTTATTTTGTACAAAATAAAACAATTAGAAACTATTGCGCCTTAAACATTTCCCTTAATGTTTATGTGGGAAGGGGGATGATTTACGTCAGTCGAAGTTGCTCCTGATAGGCCTGGTCTTCAGGTACACATAGACTACGATGAATAGGAAAACTACCCCTAGAGCCGGTAGTACGATGGTTTTTAGTTGCTTCTGCGTTTCTTGATACTCTTTTTTCAATTTTTGCTTTTCTTTCGATGTGATTTTTTGTTTGCCACCTTTCAGTACCTTCGGCATTTTATCTAGAACAGACAACGATCGTACTTACAACATACGCCGACGGTAAATAATCTCGTTATAAGTAATTGGGTGCTGTTTTTGGTTTTTACTTCCCAAAGCGACTTCATTGTTAACTCTTTTCATGTGCCTGAATTCTTAGTTTTTTTGTTAAACCCGGGGCTTCAAAAGTCTTGTTTTAAGCTGATGACTGTGTTATGGTCGCACATGTTCGATACTCCTCAGCTTACATGGGGGCTTCAATGTTTAAGCCGATAAGTCTCGCCGATGTAAGACGCACTACTTTCGTATGCAATTCTAGATCAGTTATCACAGTGTTCTGTAGTTTAACCACAGAACAGATGAAACATTTGAAATAAAAAAACTGATAAGATATGACGTCTGATCTGGAACTACTATATGAAATGGTGGCTGAAATCAAGCCAATGTGACTGAATTTGAACGCAATAAAGATGCAGCCCTTCATTATACCGTTCCTAGAAAAAGAAGCCCAAATAGACCATTCAAATAATTGAGAGAAACGAAAAAAAAAGGCGAATTTTCGATCAGGTGAAGTTGGCTGATCAGATCAAATGGAATTTGTACATTTCAAGCTCTGACCCATAAAAGTTTCTAAACCCCACATGATGCTATTATGACAGTTTAACAAGCGTAATGAACGAAAATGGGACTTCTTGGGCAAACAGTGTCAACTTTATATGGCAGTATTCTTTAGATTTCCCAATCTCAGAACAACCAGCTGGAAAACATTGTCTTCATAAGGAACATCCTTCGATACTTTGAAGACAAAATGAAAACATTTAATACTATGATGTTTACTTACTAGTATGTATCAGTGACTGGTGATGCTTAAATGGGGCCCACTAGGCAGCTGTCTTGCAGTAGCACAAACTTAACAGGTTCTACGTGTAAAATGCAAGTGAGGTTATTTACTAATGACATTCGGGATCCACGCAAACAAAACAAAAGCAACAGGTGGAGTTCAGTGTCAATGGCCTTTACATCCTGAAGTACAAGGTCGATATACACTGACACATTACACATTATCGATTATAAAATCGATATTTCCTCACTCTCGATAGTATCGAAATTACTTTGCGAATAAACGAATTTATGCCAAATATTTCATTAGTTTATGTGCACTTATTAAGCATTTTATTGCAGCAAACGCACTGGGAAAATTAGTCAGACAAGTACTTTCCGGTCTTGTCTGGCTGACACCATAACGTAAATAAAATAATTATTTTATACATTTTATTATTTATTATTTTATTTACTCTATGACAGACACTCAGTTGACGTCAACCCACAGATCACAGAGGTCACTCTGGCAGAGTGATCTGTGCCTAGACCAAACGAAAATTATTTAAAATTTGACGTGAATTTGACGTTGCTCGGCTATGACGTAATAGTACTGTCACAGTGCTGTGTTGCGATTAGTTACTGCATTGGATGTGAAAAATTTTGCCTTAACCCCCAAATTTCTGTTAAATTTACGATAACTTTTTAAAGGAAAAGTGTAGTTGCTGGCCTATAATTTGGAATTAGGTATCATGCATTTCAGTGTATTTCACTCTCGTTTTTAAACAAAATCCTTGACAATTTCTGACATCGAATTGTACCCAATTCTACCACAAACATGGATTTGGACTCAGATGAGGAAAACGTCTCTGACCAGGACTTCTATAGTTTTTTGAATGTTCCAAAAGAGGTAACTTTTGTTTAAAAAAATCTGGATGTTCGTTTCTGATAGGGTGAAATTATATTATGCAAAATGTGAATTATATTCTCTAACCTATAAACTTGTGCAATGGATCAGCTCAGCTATCTGTATACTTAGGCTTCTAGAGAAGAAATTAATAATGCATACCGTCGCCTCAGTCGCATGTATCATCCCGATAAGCATTTGGACCCAGGCCTTAAATCAAAAGCGGAAATAATGTTCAACAAGACCAAGAAAGCTTATGAAGGTACATTACTAGTACACACTCCAATTCCTCTAATAATAGCTAATATAATACGTGATTCTCTGTTAATTTCAATTTGTTTTTAGTTTTATCAGACCCTCATCAGCGCGCCATTTATGATTCATTGGGTATAAAAGGTTTGGAGACAGAGGGTTGGGAAATTGTACAAAGAACAAAAACACCAGCAGAAATCCGCGCAGAGTACGAACAACTAGCTGAAGAGAGGGCAGAGAGACAGAAGAGGCAAGCGACGAACCCAACTGGCAATATAACAATTGCTGTAAATGCCACCGACTTGTTTAATCCATACGATGCAGATCTATTCGAAGATGAATATGACAGGTAAGAAGTAAATTAAAGAAATTATAATTTCAAATAATTACCTATTATATGAAATATTAATATATTCAAAATATTACCTATATTATTATAAGAATACCGAATAAGTACTTTTAAAAATGTATCAATAATTGTGCGATATGGAGGCGTAATTTGAGTGTTACGATTCATAACATAGAACAAGACTTAAATGTTTGTATGCTAGGGATTTTCATCTCGGAATGAAAATTGGATTTTCTATCGACCGTTAAAGTTCTTCAATTATAAAGTTTCTTATATCTATTCTATTCTTTGAATTTTTCCAAGTGATCATACATTTTTTATTTGTTGTGTTATTTGCTTTTTTGAGTACAGAAATGCTTAAGCCAAAAAGATAAAGTAAGAGCCAGTTTCAGTATTCATGAGAATCATCTTCATCTGTAAGATCAAAAATCGGCCCATTTTGCGCATAATTTGACCATCATTCCTTAAGTCTTAGATGAATTCTTCATTTTTCCTTTTAATTTCTTCATGCAGGTTTACCACCAAGGTAATAACGCACACAGGGGGAATTAACTCCAAGTCCTGCACGATTGAGTCAAATTAATAACAAAACTGAAGAAAGTGATTTATTTGCCCAATTTATTGTTTAGGTACAAGGTACTCATAAGTACTCATAAGTTGACACCCTTCCTAGATCGTATATTTCAAAGTAAAATGTGAAAGTGACTAACACAAAAGTACTTTAATTTTACTATACTTTTTTAAATAAGAATCTAAAATAAAAATATAAAACACAGAAATGTCAAAATTTGTCATAAAGTATGTTTTTTAAATAAACACCGTAAGTACATATTTTTAGACAAACCGATAGGATTTTTTTTCCTGATTTCAAAAATATATATTTTGCCTATATTTCTACTCGTATTAGCCGTTTTTTTTATATTACGTTTTAAAAATTATAAATAGCAACAAATCAAAGTAGCCTTAAAATTCTACAAGGCGCTTTCTCCACCCCATAACGTTCGCCCGCTAGCACCTTTTTAAAATGAAAATGTTATCTGGATTGGACGAGCGGGTCCTATCCAATGGGGTTATTTAAATAAATAATTTGTTGAAATTTAACATTTTTAAAACATAGAACAGAAAAAACGGCTAATACAAATCTAGGCAATACATATATATATTTCTAAAACCAGGAAATCTAAAAATATACAGGGTTGCTCATTAGTGCGTCAAAGTGCGATATCTCAGTAAATATGAAGTTTACAAGAAAATTCGTCCAACGAAAGTTTTTCACGTTTAAAAGGTCCACATTCTAAAATTACTTTCCAATATACAGGGTGCATCATAAACGTGTGGTAGTTACCAACTCTGGTTTTTTAAATGAAACCCCCCCTTTTTTTTGTTATTTTCAGATTGGCCATTCAATTTTAATTTATGTTTGTTTCAACCGTTTTACCTGAAAAATTTACGATTTTCGAGTTATTCGTAAAAATGTAAAAGTTTTGACAGCTACTGGGTTCCACAGAAATCGATGCTGTACACTACCCGCTGCGAATTTTGGAAAACAGTTTTCAGCGATTCTAACAGAACA